TTAGGTAAAGGATCGGCATACCCGTTCTGCGCCACTTCGATTACCTCCTTCCGGGATTACAGTTCTACAGCTCACAATAGATAACCCAATCATATGCTAAGAATCGCACACACCATTTAACTCTTAAGTAAACCATACCCTATGTATTTCATAAATCGTTCCTGGTATACCCTATGTACTTCGTACACCGTTCCTGGTATAAGGAGGTCACTAAAGCCTTGTACCCACGTGTAGTGATGGGCAAATCGCAGTTTTTTTAAGAATTCCGCGCGGAACTTGCGGAATACAGTAGTTTTTTTAATTATTCATATATCGATATATAGTGAAATCGGCCGAAACGGCGAGTCAGTCGCCCCACAATCCAAATTCTTGCGTAACCTACGGTTGGCTTAGTCGAAAAGAGGCGTTTAGATTTGGTCGATAGTTTGGGACCGTAGGTAAGTGTTTCTTCTTTACTTGTCTTGGGTTTTCCTTTCTTAGCTTTCTACTAACTCTATTTTCAATTACCTCACTACGTCGGGTAATTGAACAACACGTATAACCACACTATCTTCAGTCCTTCGGGATAGTGGAACAATACATCCATGGCTGATCCTGGTACTTTAGGATACAACAGCCGGACGGGAAGGTAACAATACTTTGAGATAAAACAGACAATTGCAATAGTAGGGTTTTTATGGTCTGGGAATTTAGCGATTAGTTAATGTAGCAAGGGGACGTTTATGTATTTATTATTATGTAAGGGTCAGTTGTTATTTTAATAAAGCGAAGTTCGGGAGGTCTCTCCTTCTCCTAGGGCGTTTTTAGCCTTTATTTATAAGAGCATTTTACTATATACATTTTCACGTTCTATATTAACTTTGTCTAAGACTACATGTACTATTATGATTACGACTACATCAGTGTTCCCTCCCTGATTGACTACTTTACTTACTTCGCCCCTTCGATCGGAAAGGACTTTTCCTAAGTTTCGGTCCTTTCTGACGATTCTGACTTTTCTAGCCGGGCTACCCTTATTTGGGAGATGATTAAAGCAAGGGTGCATTAGAGTTACTTTTTTTATGCTAGTTATGCTAGTTTATAGATATAATGAAAGTAATTTATTCAGAATGTAGTTCATTTCCAAATATATACCAAACTTTAACCTCATTATTTGGGACAAAGATACCCAATTCTGCAATTACAGAATTAAGGGGCTGGCACCTTGCGATATTACCCGATACGCTCACCGAATTATTCCGAACAAACCGACAACGACAAAAACACGAAAAAGGTCTTGATGCCATTAAGTAAAAGTGTCTGAAATGCGGGTTTACTATATATCTACCAACTTTCTAGCCTGACCCTAACTCTAATATTAATTAAAAATCGAAAAACCGGAATGTGCCAGGCTTTAAACGTCCCCCAATTAATATATGGTGGCTTTAATCTTTACAGTATAACGAATATCTTTATAGTAGTCCGTGGGTAATATTATATGCAATTTTATATCAATTAAATTTAACATTGGAAAGATTTACAGAATATCAAAAACATGACTACTCCATATACTTCTCATGATCATCAATTTCACAAGATGACATCTGGAGTTGTAAAATGTAATGCTTTAAATCAGTTTTATATTGTTATAAAAAATCTTTTTTGCTTTAAAACAAATATCAAGTGACTCAATTATCATATGTTAGGATAATTACAAAACAATTACGTAGTTTATAAGAATAAAACATCAATGATGAGGTTAACATTATCCAATTAAATATAGTTGTTACCAGTTGGAATTAGTAGCTTAAATGCAAGTTATGTAGTATGCAGATCATATATTGTTTAACCAACAAGCATTCAGAAATTCCATATTGTGGAATTTCTAAAATCATCTACGATCATCAATTCCACACTTGTGAAACTGTTTGAATTATAAACTTTATATACAAAACTTATACGTAAAAATAGAATAGGTGGTAAAACACTATAGATGCGTTTGTTTTTTGAATTTATACAAAAAGCTCTGATAAAATTATTGATGTACGTCAGGGACACGGAATTTATGTGATTTAGTATGATTTGATGCGATTTGGGTTCGTTTAGAGCTATTAGTTACATAAAAATCATTATGTAATAATTAGTATTTATGCGATTTGGTGTAGTTTGCCAGAATCGCACTAAAAACCAATTGATGAAGTAATGTTTGTTACACGAAGAAAATCACTTCTCCCTTTAAAATATATGCAAATGAATATCTGGTAAAATTATATAACCTCGGCATAACATTATGCCTAAGAATTAATTAATCGACCTTTAAAATATATGCAAGAATTTTATAAAATGGTGGGAAAATTTAGTAATTACAAAAATAAATAAGCAAATATTAGTATATTGTATCCGCCTAACATCTAATATTTCAAAATGTATTACTACTTAGCAGTAATTATTGCATTTGCTAGCTACTTTCTGTATAAATGTTATATTTATCCTTTATATTTGTCGCCATTAAGTAAAATTCCTGGCCCACCTGGTGAAAGTTTAATTCTTGGACATTATGCCTCTTTCTTAAAGAAAGATCATGCTGAAGTCTTTTCTCACTTAGCAAAACAATATGGTGGTATAGTTAGATTTAATGCCTTATTGAATAAATCCAACCTCTTAATTACCGATCCAAAACTTGTACAAATGATGATGGTGAGCCGTGCATATGACTTTCCAAGGTATCATGCTAGCAAAACTTTAGTCAAGGATTTTATTGGTGATGGCATTATACTTGCTGAAGGTGATTCTCATAAACGACAAAGAAAAATGATGTCTCCCTCATTTGCTTTTGCCAATGTCAAAGTATTTTTTTACGATTATTAATAATCCATTAAAAATTAATCCGTATAATTATATCTAAAAATTTTAACTTTTCTAATTTTAAGGAAATGGTTCCAACATTCGTTCAAGCTGGCCATAATTTAAAGGATATCTGGATCAAAGAAATTGGTAATAATAAAGAGAAAAGAATTACAATTACATCAATAATTTCAAAGATAACTTTGGATGTTATTGGTGATGTTGGTAAGTGTTAATTTATATTCATTCTATATTGATATGTTTATTAATAACGTTCCTTATTGTAATCTTATTTATATTATTTATTGTAAATAGGGTTCAATCATAAATTCAATTCTACAACTACCGAGTCTGAATTGGCTAAAGCATACAAATGCTTAAATAATCGTAATCTTACGCCTTTATACATGGCTCTTATCAGCCTATTTCCGTTTATCAGAAAACTTCCAATATATGATCACAATGAATATCTTGATTCTCTTAAAATCATTACTAATGTTTCTGAGAAACTAATTACTGATAAAAAAACTAGTTCCGTCCGAGGAACGGATTTATTGTCGTTATTGACAAATGCAAATGATAACTTACCCGTTGACGAACAATTAACTCATTATGAATTAGTTAGTCAGGTAAGAACCAATTTATACTCTTATTAAATTTTTATTTAAAGTTATTGAAATATATAAATCTATTAAATTTTAGGTTATGACATTACTCATTGCTGGACATGAGACTACTAGTACTACATTATCCTGGGCACTATACTTTCTCGCAAAAAATCCTGATATTCAAGATCATCTTCGCAAAGAAATACTTGATATATTTCCCGATCGTGATTATCATCCAACTTTTGATCAAATTGAACAATTGAAATATTCAGAATGCATCTTGAAAGAAATTTTAAGAATCGTTCCACCTGGTATAGCTTAACATTTCTATATTTGAATTATCTTATTAATTACCTATTTTATTCTAACTCTAATTTATATGAATTTAAGTCCCTTTACTCATTCGTACTAATGTCAAAGATGAAATGTTTAATGGCTACTTTATTCCAAAAGTATTTTCTTGATTAATTTTCTATAATGCAATTTACTTTGATAAATTATCTGTTATATAACTAATTTGTGTTTTTTTTTTTTAGGAAACTCCATTGACAATTCCCGTTTACGCAATTCAGCATGATCCCTCAATTTGGGGTGATGATGCTGAACATTTTAACCCATTTCGGTGGCTTAATCCTGAAATAAAATCTAAAATAGCCAATTGTAATTTCATGCCTTTTGGTGCCGGTCCAAGAAGTTGTTTGGGAATGAAAATGGCACATTTAGAATTTAAAGCTATTTTAGCCGTGATTATTAGAAATTTTGAGTTTAAATTAGTTGAAGGTTTTACTTTTAAAAGGACATTTATTGGTTTAATGAAACCTAGCCCTGGAATTGATTTGATGGTTTCAAAAATAGATTATTAATATTGAAAAGTATTGATTTTTAAGTTATTTGTATAGCTATTATGTTAAGGTTAAGGTTTGGACTTGGTTTTCTGGGAAACTGAACATTTTACATAGTATTAAAACATCGATTATTTAAGTTGTCTTCAAAAAAATAACATATTTAGTAATTTTCACCGAGTGAAAATCGAATAAATTAAAATTGTGTAATTTAGATTAATATAAGTAATTTATATTATAAAATTTTATAGGTTTTAACTTTTTTTTTTTTATTAAAAAATTTTTCATAATACAATTAATTGAACCGGAACGATGTGGAAGACATTAAATCCTTACCCTATAATTATAATGATATTTGGCTTCCCCTGCAAACTTTAATCATCAATCCGCTCATTGAAAATATATGTTTATGATTATTTAACCTCTCTAGCTTAACTTCAAATCATTTACGTAAATGAGGCTTATACTTATTATTTTACTTAAGGATGTATCAGTCTGAAAAAGACCAGTGTGAAGGTGGGTCTGAAACTGATGTTGCCGGGTGACCAAAACTAACGAATACAATTAATACAAACACTAAACTAAACAACCCACAAAACTCAAACCCCTAAAATAACAGGCTAAAATAGAGGCGTGGATTGAATTGGTTCGAGGATTAAGGTCTGTAGAGTCTTGCTGAAACAGACAAGTGTAGGCTTTCTCAAAGGGTTGTACAGTTCTTTCATCTATATCTCAATAATACAATACTCTACTATCTCTATATCTGATATTAACTGTACGGGGTTATACTTTTCTTTCTCAATCATGAAGGCACTTCACGATTGTCGCGTGATCAGGATCGAAATGAAATCACGGGGAAGCAATGGTATTTTATCAATGATGAAATCAACAGTTTAATTGTTTTTAGTATATAAGAGATCTGAATATTAATTTTTCTTATTGTTTTCTCAATTTTTATGTCTAATATGGGAACAGGAATCAATGATAATGACAAACAAAATTAGCAAAGGTAAAGAAAACTTAATAGAGAAATATTCTTTTACTATTACTTGTTGGAGTTGTAGAACTCTTTTGAGTTAATTTTTTTTATTGGGAAGAGCTTACAGTTTTTTTAGAGTTTTAAGTACAGACTAAAATTTGACTATTTACTTTTTGATTTTATATACTCAATTGAGTCATTGAGTTTCTTGGTTTGATTTTATTGATTTTATCTGTATTGTTATTAATACTAACTATAAATGAAAATGCTAATTAGAAAAACTAAAAATAGAAAAATAAAAATAAAAATAAAATGAATCACAATCCAATATCAAATTACATTATATTTGTTAATTTGACTATTACAATTCCTTTTATTAAAAAAACCTTGTATACAAGTTCAAGTTAATTCAAATTATTAAATTAATCTTTTATTAAATAATACAACTTTGGAAATTCAAATGTAGTTAGTTCTGGGTGTGGTGACCTAGTGAAGTAGTCAGGTTGTCAACCCTTCAAGTGGTAGGTTGGGTGTTCAAATCCCATCGATGGCAAAAATTTGGATAATCACTATGTAATATTCATATTACGACAACTGTTACTAATGATTGGATTAGGATACCTGTAATGGCAGTTGCACCAGCATGACTGGCAGGTTATGGGGCATCTGTGCAATGTTGGAGTTACATGTAGAAATACAAACTGACAAATCATGCAATGCAAACAATAGATAAGTCCTTGTGGTT